AAAAAAAAAAAAAAATGTAAATTGTATGAAACTAATGATTTGTGATGTTAGAAGTGTATAAGTTTGTCTTTTTAACTCCAAAACATTTTTAATAAATCAAGTTGATTGATTATTTAGATTATTAGATTTGCTTAGAGATTGGTTATTTTAGTCCTTTAACATTTTGATTATACTGAGATAACTATATTTATGATTTTATATGTCTCTTCATAGTGCCTATGTATGAGTGGTTGTGAAGAGGAAGAAGCAAATCGTGAATTTGAAAGAAATTTCATGCGGAAACATCCACAAATGATGAAAAAATGCATTGTGGCCAGTGACACTCTTGGTCCATTATATGCTGCTACTCCTAATGGTAACATAAAAAATTAATATTCACATTAATTTTCTTGTTTTTATTTTTATTTAATCTATAGGTATTAATGGAGACACCATACAGATAAAAATCTAAAAAACTGTACACACTTGAGAATCAAAATGCATTGATTTGCTTCCTTTTATCACTGAGAAGTGTTCTCTTGGGAGGTCTAAAAGCAATCCTTAAGCTTTTCATACTGAACCGGAAAGTATTAAAAAGGGAGAAAATTTTCTGTGAGAGAGAAAATAGTTTTTTTGCCTATCAAATGCATTGCCTTACATTTAAACATAATTCAATCAATGTTGAATGTAAGGCATTACTGAAATGATAATGTTTTGTCTATTAAAATAAATGCTTAAAAACATAGTCTGTCATGTTTTTATGATTAGATCATGTGTTGTCATTTATGATTCTCTCATCGTAAATGTCTGACAGATAGTGGATCATATCCATACCTAAGAGAAAATTTTATATCTAATCAATGTGCTGTTACAGAACTCTGCATACTTGAATTGCACTACTAAATCCTCCGAGTACACAAGCACTCATCACAAACATATCTAGGTTTCCATGTTATGTGATAAAGTATAAACTTCATATCAGTGTTCTAAATACTGTTCAGTGACTTTTTCTAAGAGCAATGAAAACAGATCCTTAACAAACACAGAAACAGATACAATATGAAGTCCAAAATCTGGCTGTCCAATACCAGGAATCTGATCTAAAATCTGGACCTCTAGATCACCAACAATTTTTTTTTTTTTTTTTTTGTTTTTTTTCAATTATTTGATATCTTTTACTACACAACATGTGGCGAGTCCAGATTCTTAAAATTTCGCTCTGGAATTGATGGCAACCTAGCCAATCATTATTTATTATCTTTTGCTTTAGTCACCGCATGACTATCAGCACACTGCAGCTTGAAAAATGATTCAAGCAGTAATATCTAAACACTTTTTTGAAATATTTTTAATATTAGTAATTGAAAAACAAAGAGCATGTTAACCTTTGGCATTATGCATGGGGATAATTAGACTTCAGTTGCGAAGTGTTGCGTGTGTTGACAAGGAGAAGTTTAACAGAAATTTCATTCTATATGCAAATATGTTTTGGAACTGATACTTGTAGGCCAAAGGATATATTTAATACTGCTTTAACTTGAGAATAACTGATTTGTTATTTAGTTAAGCCCAGGACCGGAGTCAGAACTTATATGGTTGCACAGGGTAGCAGAATTTAGGGAACTACAATTATTATAATTTAGGGAATCACAGAGCAACAAAATTAAGTAATGGCAAAATCTTTAGAATTGCACTGGAATGCAAAATTTTGAGAATTTAGTGAGGTGCTTGGTGGGTTGGACCGTGACCTTTGAGAGGGAGAAGGCCATGACACTTTATAAACATGGCGGAGCTTTCCGTCTGATGTTATTTGTCGGAAAAAAGGAAAGTCATTCTTGGCTTTTTTAATTTTCGTTTCGGCAATATAACTTTATCATGTTGCTTAGTTAAGTAAAAATGCGGAAAGAAAGGGAGGGCTTTTATATACATTATTTTCTTTAGGCTTTTACAGATATTTAATTAACTGTGCAATAATTATAATTGAGAATATAAAGAAACAAACAAAACACTTTACAAAAATTTAAAACGCTTGAGAATTGAAAAAATTGCCACTGTCCTGATAAAACTGGGGAAAAGGGGTTCTTAATGATAATTAATTAATATTTTACCTAGGGACTCAAAGTATTAATTATTCGCATTTCAGAGGCAAAAAAGATATAACCATCAAAATTCTATATTCCAACGTATGTAAAAATGAAATCCTGTATAATTAGGTTAATAAATGTGTACACAATATTGTAACACGAAAAATTACCTTAAATCTTTATAGCAAAAAAGGGGACTTTCCAAACATTCTATTTGAAATGAGGGATTAACCTAACAACAATACAACAAATGGCAATAACAAATTGAACAACAATAATTTTAAAAAAGCATATTTTTATATTAAATGATAATTCAATTCCTATCCTAAAAATTTAGAAACTAAAAATATGTATATACACCTGCATTATGATGAAGAGAAAATGGTTGTTAAAGAAACATCAGCATTACACTAAATTAGTAAATTCATAATTATGCTTTGAAATCATTATATATTTTTAAAAACATTAAGGTTCCATTAAGTGGCCACATTGCAGTTCTGTGAGTTTCTCTTTGGAATTTTGGAAAATCTCTTGGTTGTGAATACGGAATGTGTTTCAAGTTATGTTTTTAATTATTACATTTGAATACATTCATTTCATTGTTAATTTTGTACATTGATTTTGTGATTAGCAATTAAAACAAATCATGTGATAACATGGGGAGGAAACAAATTTTGTGTGTGCTATTTAATGAAGAGAGCAGATTTAACTGGACAGTTCTTAATATGTGGGATATTATTCAAATCAATTTCTGCGCCGTGAATCCAGGGAAAGTATCCAAAAGAAATGTTATGGACTTGACAAAATGATTAGTTAAAAATCGGTCATTGAGATCTGCCATTAATTTAACAAACTTTAATATTCAATTTAACAAAACATGTATATACCATAAAAAAAGGCAAATTTAAAGGTTTTTTAAAAAATAATATTAAAAACAATAAAAAATGTGCCAAACATATAAAATATTAAAAAGTTTCGAACAACTAATATGCAATATTCAGTTAAATTCAGATAGCTAAGTAATCCAAGTGCAAAACCAAACATGAAAAAAAAATTCACCCCATTTAGCAAAATTATTTACAATTAATCTAATTTTTTTTTTTTTTTTTAAATGCATAAGGTGGATGGACTGTTGAGGGCAGGCAAGGAGACAGACTTATCAAGGGGAAGTTGCCTCCAAAACCTAAACTCTTCAGTCATTCAATTCGTGGAAGCAAATGGCACAAAGACTTAATTAAATTTGTATTTAAATCCCCTTTCTTCTTTTTGGAAAAAACAATATATATATATAGAGATATATATATATTATAGAAAACGGGAGTTCAAGTTGGTTTGTTCCTCCCCTTGAAAAAGGTCAAATAATTCGATCAATAACAATGATACATGCATTAATTAAATTTTTCTTTTACAATTGAAATGTATTCTGTTCATGATGATTTAATCCAGTCACCGTTTTAAAACATTATTAACATTTACTTTCAAAGTTTTTCAAAACATCTTTCTAATAGTATAAAATACTAGAGGATGCACTCCTTTTAAAATGAATTCTCTTTTAATTAAACTTCGGAGCTAATATAATCAATTAATCAATATGTTTTCGGGAAAAATAAATTATATATATATATTTACATATAAATCAAAAGAAAATTGATTGTTAAAAAAACTATCCAGCAGTGTACCAAATTTTTATAACCTTTTAAAACTTGCTATTTTAAAACAACACAAAGGATTTATTATAATTGAAAAAATAGTAATACGTAGTTCTGTTTTTTTTATCTTTTTTTGGTAACTTTCCAAGCACGATAGTTTATGTGTTTTTTTTTAAATAAAATATTGCCAAATACACTATAAATTATGTCAAACATACACTAATTTTAAAAAAATTATTTAAAATATAATTTAATATTTTAAAATTGTGTATGTTATTTGGTTAGGTTATCTCATTTCAAATATGAATGTTGGAAGGAAAGGTATTTTTTGTTATAATATTAGGTTATGTTTCTTGTACGAAATATTTTTTTTTATCACATTTTCTAAATAATTTATAATATTATTTGCCAATTACATACGTTGGAGATATATAGAAAGGTGATGGTATAGAATTTGCTCTGAAAAACGTCGAATAAATTAAGACTGAAGCCTAGATAAAAAAATTTAATTCTTATATTAAGGAACCCCCTTTCCAATTACATGGACAGGTGGCAATTTTCGTCAGCGTTTTAAATTTTTTGTAAAAATGTCGTTGTTTTTGGTTCTCTCAATTATATTTATGTACAAAGTTAATGAAAATATATGTAAAAAAGGCATAAAAGAAAAAATAATGTATTAAAGCCGCCTTTCTTTGAAAACTATTTTTAAATTAACTAAGCAACCAGATTAAAAAGTAATATTTCGAACGAAAAAAATTTTAAATACCAGATGGACTTTTGACAATAACATCAGACGGGAAGCTCTGCAATGTTTATAAAGTGTCATGGCCTTCTACCTCTTGAAGGTCATGGTTGGAACCATAGAGACAGCACCGGGCCTCAAAATATCTAGCTTCAGCCCTGGATAAGCCTTAAGTTTACAGGAGTTTATTTATTTAGGACTTAGAAAAACCTTAAGTATGTGCAGCAAATATTAAGTATATAAATAAATAAGCTAATAAAGTTCATTTTTAATTTTGCCAGCATGCAATGGAAGAAAGACAATATTAAACATCTTTAGTTGTCATTCTCAGCGTATATCGGCAGTAGTGTATAGCAGTTGCTAACTAAGCTTTATGATGCTAGCCGCAAATTTGCAGGTTTTCAGGTATCACAACAAAAGTAAAATTTCTGATGAATGGAATTTGTGAAGAAGTGTGTAGAACTGGTTATAAATGAAGATTATGTAACAGAAGTTCTTTCATTGCAATGATTGTTTCCCAATCATCAGTGCCCCCCTCCAAGTCCTGCTATGCTGCCTCAACGTGGCGGGGGGGTTACTGGGTGGAACGGGCGAAGTATGTCGGGAGCATAGCTCCTGGTAGGGCCACCCTAGGCGTGAAGGCCATTGCAACATGCTCAGCTAAAGCGTAGCAGGTGAAGATCCTTCAGGATATTACCGCCTTGGTGATCGGGTGTCACAATCCTGGAGCCCCAGTGATCTTTCCTCCTTTCTGCCTCCTCTCCTCCTTGAACTGCAAAACTTTTTCTTTTCCTTCTGTTGTGTGATTTCCTCTTTCTGAAGGGTTTGGGGGGCCAGCGTGCGTAAGTTAGGGTTTTCAGTGCCAGGACAACCTGAAGGATTTCGCGGCCCCATAATGGTT